CCTGATATATACAATAATAAATAATGAATTATTATATAATTTCTATTTTAATTTATTTGAAATCGTACGATATGGTAATTAATAAATGATAAGTAAAAAAATGTACGAATAAAAGAGAAACGTCGTATTAACGTGTTCTCACTCATCAGCTGAAAACGGACGATTCACTAAAAAATACTCGCGTATACGTTTCTCGTTCATCAGGAAAAACGAGTATTGAAAACGGACAATCTCCTCTATAATACTCATTGCATACTCGTGTATACTCACTATCGTTCCTTCATGATACACTGCGAGTGCTTGCGAGTGTATGAAACGAGCAAGAACGGGCTAAAAACGAGCTAAAAACGGGCTAAAAACGGTGAAAAATTTTTATAAGGGTATGCTAGTGATAGTTTGGTGCAAAATCAAGCCTTCAAGAGGGAGATAAATGATTTACGAATAGGAAATGCAGTTCATTGGAAAAGCAAATTACTGTCGTTTCATCCATTTCTCGACAAAAATGGATTCTTACGTGTAGGAGGCCTACTGCGACACGCCGAAATAGGATGGGATAAAAAATATCCATTAGCGCTGCCTGCCAAGCATTATGTAACTACGCTTATATTCCAGGGGAAGAGCACAAAAGATTACTGCATTGTGGGCCAGAGCAGCTTTTAACGTCAATTAGGCTTCGATACTAGCCATTAACGGGCAGATAAGAAGCACGTAAGATAATACGCCATTGTATAGAGTATTTTAGGTTCAAGCCCAAGGTCGTAGAAGCAATTATGGCAGACCTACCCAAGGACCGTTGTTTGCGCTGACGCATATTTTAATTCCGGCGCCATTTTTCACACACGATCGTTCATTTTGTTTTGGTATCGCGGAGGGGGAAAAGGGAAGTGCAGTTCCCGAACAGACATCATATGGAAAGGACGACAGTTAATGTGGTCACAAATAAAGTAGTTGGATCTAAATCAAGTAAACCTTGTGTTATTATTTCGATAATAAGAGTGTCCGCATACACAAGTGAGACGTCTCACAACAACGAGAAATTGCTCGTTGTTCATTCAACATGGTCCTTCGAGCCCGATATCTTCACAGCAAGGTTGTCCAAAGGAATACAAGGTGCGAGATATCCAACGACGCTAACGTATAAGCGGATGGCTTGATTAGTGAGCACATTTCGAGCCGGCAGTCGCTTAAGTTACATCGGGGAACTATTACGATTTAGCTACAAAATGCATTGCATCATTTTTTCCGACGAGCGAAGTATCAAGAGATTCGTGACGCCATCTTGGACATCGGCGCAACAGTAACAGTAGCCGTTATTGGCGCGGCAGTCACTACGTTGAAAATCTGACGCCATCTTGGACATCAACGCAGCATCGTGGCGACAAGCAGTTAGCAAGGCAGTCACCATCAAGTCAACAAGTCTACCAACCCACATCACTTTCAAGTCGGCGACGTGCATCGAAATATAACCTGTACGGCGGACTATATAATTGTCAATTCAAACAAGTAATTTAATCGAAAAGTATCGGACATAAATTTTGTGAGTAAGTCAGAGTACAGTATAGTTAAGTTCATCGTCGTAGCGTTTTCTTTTAGAGTAGAATAATTGTACACAGCGACAATAAAGCGACAACAGCAAAATGTCTAATCTTACAGTAGCGGAGACGAAAGGTAAGCGCAAGGTTATTAAAGCAGCAGTCACACGATTGAAAGGGTTTATCGATTCGATAGAAATTGCACAAATTTCACGGTTTGAACTAATGGAGAGATCAAAAAAGTTAAGTATATTGTGGGATCAGTATGATGAAGTGCAAACGCGAATTGAAATGCTGAGTGTTGATGACACTAGCGATGAGAATCAACATCAAATTGACATTCAGCATTCCGATAATAGAGGTAGTTTTGAGGGCGCTTACTTTTCGCTGATGGCAAAACTCGAAACGGCAATTAGTGAAGTCAACATTCGCGAAGCTCAAACCGACCTCGGTTCTCGGAATTCCAATACGCAGTTGAATAACGATACCTCTGTTTCACAGATTTGTTTACCTAAAATTGAATTACCAAGTTTTTCGGGCATAAATGAAGATTGGTATTCTTTCTATGATACTTTCGAAAAATTGATTCATTCAAATTGTAAGCTAGCAGCTGTCCAGAAATTCCATTACTTACGTTCGTCGTTGAAGGGTGAAGCATTGGACATCATAAAGTCAATCGACATAACTACAGAGAACTATGTTGAGGCATGGGAATCGCTGATTGAACGTTATAACAATCGTCAACGCATCATTTAGGATCACGTGAGGCAACTGGTGGAATTACCGCATATCACAAGAGAAAATCACGTACAGTTGCGTACCTTACTTAGCAACGCACTCAAACATTTGCGCGCTCTTAAAGCGTTAGAAAGACCAGTAGATACATGGGATGATTTGATAATACATCTCATTTCGTCCAAGCTTGATCCAGTTACAAAACGAGAATGGGAGACAAGTCGCACGGATAACTCGATACCTACGTTCAAACAACTCAAGGATTTTTTGTTACAACGATGTTCGGCTTTGGAGGCAATCGCAAGCAAGACCACGGGCGCAGTTTCATCTATTGATACAAATACATTAAATCAAAAACCAAAACGAGCAGTCAGTTACGCAGCCAGCACAAATGTGATTTGCGAATGTTGCAAGGAATGTCACTTCTTGTATCAATGTAACTCATTTAAAGAACTTCCTGTCGACAAACGATTCAAGATAGTAAAAAATGCACGCCTGTGCATTAATTGTTTAAAAACAAGCAATCATCAAGTTAAGAATTGCACTTCCGGTTTCTGTCGCAAATGCAGTAAGGCGCATAACACACTCTTACATTTCGAGAATGCAGGCAATCAAGACGAAACGGATCTCGTATCAAACGCTGAAATTTCACAAGCACCAGTGGTTACACAATGTTCTCAACAAGGCTCAGCAAGGAAGGTATTATTGTCTACAGTGATAGTACATATTTTTGATGCTTAAGGCAAGAGTCACACATGTCGTGCGTTATTGGATAATGGATCACAGCTGAATTTCATCACCGAAACGTTGGCAAACAAATTACGACTGAAACAGCAACATTTAAATATCGCCATTTCTGGAGTAGCACAGGGAGGCATCAACGCAAGAAGATCTGTTAACGTTCTGATACAATCCAAACAAAATAGTTATCGCGAACGAATGGAATGTGTAATCCTGCAGAAAATCACACAAAATTTACCTCAAGAATTTGTGGACAGATCACAACTGAAAATTCCATCTAACATTTCATTAGCAGATCCTCATTTTAATATTCCGGATAACATTGATCTTTTGATCGGCGCTGAAGTGTTCTGGCAATTGCTCTGCATTGGTCAGATCAAATCATGCCGGACACATCCTACCATTCAGAAGACCAAACTCGGTTGGATCATTTCTGGTCAGATATTCAACAATCATCAATCGAATAAGAGCCACATTTGTCATTTGGCCACAATGGATGATTTAAATAACACCATCTCCAAATTCTGGCAAACTGAAAATAACTATTGCAATGAGATTTTTACGCTATTACCCGAAGAACGTGAGTGCGAAACTCAGTTTTTACAAACTACTACGCGCAATTCTGATGGAAGGTATATAGTCAAACTTCCAATCAAGGAAGAGTCAATGAGCCAGTTAGGCAATTCGAAGGAGATCGCCAAACGGAGATTTTACGCACTGGAAAGACGATTGGCCAAACAATCCGATATTTATGTTGCTTATCGTAATTTTATGAATGAGTATCAGTCTTTAAACCACATGCAGGAGGTCAAGGATATTACTGATGACGGTTTATGTAATTATTTACCGCATCATACGGTATTCAAGGAAACGAGTGCGACGACAAAAACACGTGTGGTTTTTGATGCATCATGCAAAACTGACTCAGAAAAATGTTTAAATGATATGCTACTCGTCGGTCCAATAATTCAACAGGATCTATTTGCTATTTTGGCAAGATTTCGTACATTTGCAGTAATAATCACAGCGGATATCACGAAGATGTACCGGCAAGTACTAATTCATCCAACCCAGAGATCGCTTCAACGCATTTTCTGGCGAGATAATTCCCAAGAAGATTTAAAGATATTTGAACTCATGACTGTAACCTGGGACACAGCAGCAGCACCGTTTTTAGCCATAAGAGCATTACGAAAACTCGCCGAAGATGAAGCCTCTGACTACCCACTTAGCTCGAAAATCGTGTTGAGGGATTTCTACGTAGATGACATGCTAACAGGAGCGAAATCAATAGATGAAGCAATGATTATAAAGCAGCAAACTCATGAATTACTCAAGCGAGGAGGATTTGAATTGACGAAATGGTGCTCCAACGAAATCAAGCTGCGAGACAATTAATCACTGTCAGATAAGAATCAAAGGTGTCAAAAAAGAGTTTAACGCAAGCGGATCTCAGAATGAAACTCGGGCACTTGGAGTAGTGTGGAACTACGATTTGGATATTCAAATTCGTTGACGCAGGCAGATGGACACCGCTCGAGAAACCTACCAAGCGAAACATTTTATCAAGGACAGCACTAATATTCGATCCCCTGGGGTTCATAGGACCTGTAACGTTGACGGGAAAAATCATTATGCAAGAATTGTGGTTGTTGAAAATTGATTGGGACGAATCAATTCCTATGGACCTGAATACTACGTAGAAGGAGTATGAATCGCAACTCGAACAGCTGAATGACATCAAGATTCCTCGAAGAATGCTGACAGAAAACCCAGTATACATTGAACTACACGGATTTGCTGATGCGAGTCAACAGGCGTACGGAGCATGCGTGTACATGCGATCTATCTCTGAGAGCGGACAAGTGGAAAGTCATTTGATTGCTTCCAAATCGCGGATAGCCCCGGTAAAATCATTGTCAATACCACGATTGGAGTTATGTGGGGCTTTGGTACTAGCTCAACTAGTCGATAAGCTGAAAAACTGCTTGAACTGTAAGATTGATAATACCGTCTATTGGACCGATTCCAATATAGTGTTATGCTGGTTACAAGCGCCCGGTCGTAATTGGACGCCTTTTGTCGCCAATCGAGTGGGCGAAATTCAATCATTAATCACCATTGACAATTGGCGCCACATATCAAGCAAGGAAAATCCTGCGGATTTGCTCTCGAGAGGAGCAACTCCGCATGTAATCTCCAATTCAGAGCTGTGGTGGAGTGGACCTCATTGGTTGAAGAATGATGAGTCTGAATAGCCAGTTACAACAATCTCACTTGCAAGAGATATACCAGATAGAAGAAACATAGCCGTAACCAATGTAGCAGCATTAAACACTAATTTTGAGATTTTTGAGCGTTTTCCGAGTTATTCGAAGCTTATACGGTTTGCAGTGTCCCTGCGTTTTGTTAACATGACAAGAAAAAAAGGGGTAGACTCTGCCAAGGCTTCTCAACATGGTAGCAACAATGGAGAATTTCTTCCACTTTCCGTTTCTGAACTAGAAGCAGCAAAACTAGCGTTGGTAAAAATCGTGCAACGGGAATGGTTTCAGGATGATATTCGTCATATTTCAAAATTCGGGGGTGTGAACAGGAGGAGTCCAATCCTTAAACTAAATCCATTTTTAGATGCGAATGGAATTCTGAGAGTAGGCGGTCGTTTAAGGCATGCAAATTTGTCGTATAATGCAAAACATCCAATTTTAATTCCAGCGCAACATAGACTCACTCGGTTGATTATAGTTCATGAACATTGTCGTCTTTTTCACGCAGGAGCACAAACTTTAGCATCAATTCGACAAGAATTTTGGCCGTGTTCAGCTCGAAATCTCATACGTCACGTCATAAACACATGTGTAATATGTTTTCGCAATTCACCAAAATTGTCCACTACTTTAATGGGTGATTTGCCTGAAGCTCGCGTCAAAGGAGGCACACGACCATTCGAGGCATGTGGTATCGATTACGTTGGTCCTGTTTATTACAAAAAAAGGTCAACGAAAGAATTCACGATCAATCAAATGATTCATAGCAATTTTTGTTTGTTTTACGACGAAGGCTGTTCATTTGGAATTGTCGAGTGATCTCACTTCTGACGCTTTCTTAAATATACTTAAGCGATTTATCGCAAGAAGAGGACGTCCTAATCATATATATTCCGATAACGGTTTAAACTTTGTTGGTGCCGAGCGCGAACTCAGGGAATTGTTTAATCATAAAGAAGCTAAGCAACAAATTATTGACAACATGGCAAATGAACATATACAATGGCATTTTATTTCACCAAGGGCACCACACATGGGGGGTCTTTGGGAAGCCGCCGTGAAGGCCGTTAAATTTCATCTTATACGCATTGCTGGAGAGGCTTCTTTAAGACATGAAGAACTCAATACATTATTAGTACAAATAGAAGCAATCCTCAATTCGCGACCGTTGACACCGCTATCAGCAGATCCTAACAATTTTTCGGTTCTTACTGCCGGTTATTTTTTAATAGGATGTCCTCTCATTGCGTACCCAGAACCGACTATCACAGATCTAAATATCAATAGACTTGACCGGTGGCAACGCGTCGAACAATTGCGACAACAATTTTGGCTACGCTGGACGAAGGAATATTTACATGTCTGTCAGCAGCGCAGTAAATGGAATACCATTACAAATCCCATGCAAATAGGACAACTTGTTATTGTAAAGGAAGACAACTTGCCTCCTTTAAGTTGGAAATTAGGGTGAATAAAGGAGGTGTATCCAGGTCAAGATGGAATTATAAGAACCGCATTAATCCATACGGCAAGGAGTGATTATAAACGTCCAATTACCAAACTTTGTGTACTTACCATAAATTAAGTAACATAGTTATACTCTCACCTATACTCATTTATTGTTAGTTGCGTCGAGTATTAATCACAATTACTAATTCGTTGACAAAGGGCGTCACACATGATTAGTTTTTAAGTTTACTTCGTTTTTTTTGTGTTCTGTTTGTAATCTAAGAGATTCCAAGGGGGGAGTATGTTTGCGCTGACGCATATTTTAATTCCGGCGCCATTTTTCACACACGATCGTTCATTTTGTTTTGGTATCGCGGAGGGGGAAAAGGGAAGTGCAGTTCCCGAACAGACATCATATGGAAAGGACGACAGTTAATGTGGTCACAAATAAAGTAGTTGGATCTAAATCAAGTAAACCTTGTGTTATTATTTCGATAATAAGAGTGTCCGCATACACAAGTGAGACGTCTCACAACAACGAGAAATTGCTCGTTGTTCATTCAACAACCGTCTTCAAGGCTGTTTGGCCATTCGCAATTAGGGTTAGATTATACTGGCCTGATTTAAATCCGAGAAGGTAAAAGAAGAGGAAGGATATCTATATCAAAAGGATATATTGCGTTATTCGTGTGCTTTAATACGAAGACCGTTCATTTGGAAGCAATAACGGATATGACTACTGAAGCTTTCTTAGCAGGTCTAAGAATATTTACAGCCCAAAGAGGTTTTTGTAATGTGCTGTACTCGAACAATGCCAAAAATTTTGCAGGAGCATCAAGGGAGTTGAAGGAAGTCCATCAATTTATGAAGGATCAGGCCGATCAAATCAAAGTCGATATGGTGACACAAGGTATTGAATGGAAATTTATACCTTCACGATTCCCAAACTTTGGAGGTCTATGGGAGGCGGCCGTTAAGGCCACCAAACGACACTTATATATTGTCACGCGTAATCTTATATTAACATATGAAGAACTCAGCACACTCTTAGCTGAAATCGAAAGCACATTAAACTCCCGTCCCTTGACCCCTTTGTCCTCCAACCCTGACGATCTAACGGCATTAACTCCCGCCCATTTCCTACTCGGAGACTCACTACCAGAACCTGCGCAAAGAAATTTATTAAATGTGTCAAATAATGCTGTATCAAGATGGCAACATTAGCAAAAGATTAAGCAGCATTTTTGGATTCGCTGGAAAAGAGAGTATTTGCACCAACTACAAATGCGGGGTGATCCCGATTGACCACGTCTCGATTGGACACTACCAATCACAGCGACCGGTTCTTAGAAGCTTTGTAGTCTCAAGCGCTGTGAGTGGCTCGTGTCCAATTAAGCCGTGTCCAACTGGGTGCCACCCTACAAATGCGTACCAAATGGTACCACGACGCCACGAGACTGAAGTCTGAAACAATGGTCTTGGTGATAGATGAACAGACACCTCCGCTTAAGTGGGCCTTAGGACGGATACTGGAACTGCACCCAGGAGACGATGGAGTGGCCCGAGTAGCTACTATAAAAACAGCTAATGGAATATACAAAAGATCCGTCCGAAAACTGTGTGCCCTTCCAATCAATAATGGCACTAAAGAAAAGGATTAAGCGGCAGAGGCTAATTATTTTATGCTCATTTTAGAATTACTCGTTAATTTAATTCCAGGTTATTTTATTGTGTAAGAAAGATAGCAATTGAAAGGCTTTTCAAGGTGAGCTGAGGATGCGAAGGAGTTAATGTCGTCAGAGTTGCGTTTTAAATGTACCGCGACGCTTAGATGGTAGGCCTAGCTATTAGGTGTTAAACTTAATTCCTGCCGCTCGCTACGAAAGGGTGCTGGCTCCAACGCTGGCAAGTTTCGACGATGAAGTCATATGTCTTTTGTAGTTTAGACATCGCTGAAAGTGATTCGATCCTCACAGGTTAGATTTCTCGACGCCAAAGAGATTTTCCAATCGATTGAAAATAAATCGCGATAAGCTGTTTTTCCGACATGTGCTTCTTCACTACTTCGACCTCAAGAAAACCGCAGCTGAAGCGCATCGCTTATTATCCGAAGTGTATGGTGATGACTCCATCGGAAAAAACATGTACAGTTTGGTTTGAACACTTCCGAAACGGTGATTTTGATGTGAGAGACAAAGAACGTCCAGGACAGCCGAAAAAATTTGAAGATGTCGAGCTGCAAGAATTGCTTGATGAGAATCCAGCTCAAAAGCTTTTAGAGTTGTCGAAACAGTTAAATGTTACTCCAAAGGCCGATTGAGTGACAAATTTATGCAAAAAAGATGATCCGTAGCCAACAATCGACGCAAAGTCATTTTGTTGCATGATAACGCTCGATCGCATGTCGCGAAAAGCGTGAAGCAGGCACTTCTAGAGCTCGAATGAAAAGTTCTCCCGCATCCAGCGTACTCGCCAGACATGGCACCGTCGGATTACCATCTCTTCCGATCGATGCAACACGCACTTACGGATACACACTTTTCCAATCACAACGAAGTCCAAAAATGGTTGGATGAATGAATCGCCTCGAAAGACACCGCGTTCTACCGTCGTAGGATTGCCCTGTTGCCAGAGAGATGGGAAAAAGTAGTAGAAAATGGAGGAAATTACTTTGATTAAGGTATTCATTCATCTTCCCTTCGAAACAAATTAATTTTGCAGACAAAAAAACGGCAGGAATTAAGTTTAACATCTAATATTATAATATGACGAAGGAATTAGACGTCTGGCTACATTAGCAGCATTGATAAAACGATTGTACTGAACGAAAGTTTGACATTGTAACGCTTAGAATAAAGAAAGGTTCTAGCAGAGTATTCAAGAGATTCTTGTAAAATCAGGCGATATTCATTCAAGGAACGATTACCTTGACAAGTGTCATCACGCATTTTTACTCCAAACAGCACTTCAAAGGGTGCAGACTCTATGCTGCGATTATAGCTAGAATTTAATATCCGTTGTAATTTATCGACATGCTTGTACCATTTAACAGAATCTTCAATCGACAATTTGGAAAGAACTTCTGTAATTACTCTGTTTATACGTTCTACCTGTCTATTCGCTCTTGGTAATCTTGTAGTAATAGTTGTGTTTAATTTCTTCTGTCTGGGGCAGTATTCGTTAAATTCTTGGGAAGTAAAGGCTGTGCCACTATCCGTTATTATTTGTTTCGGGTTACCGAATATTTGTTTCTGTGCATTCAACTTATTTAATACCTCACAGGTTGTGGTAGTTTTAGTAGGATATAGCTAAACAAATTTGGTAAAACTATCTATTACCGCAAAGATATGGTTATAATTCTTACTAGTAGTATTTAACGGGCCTAAGTGATCGGCGTGATACGTATGTGTAACTTCCGGTGCACCTACAACATAGCACCCCGTCCGTTTACCAAGCGAGCGCGAGCACGGAATATAGCGAACGATAAAATACGTGCCTACTACAATCGCGTTCAGCTATAGGCCAAGCCACCGAAACCGTCGCGATTGAACGCCGCGCATACTGCGCCTGCGCCAAAGTATAAAACGCTAAAAACGATGCAAGAATGCACTTTAGCGAGAAAACATTGTTAACACGGGGTAGGGAATGACCAATACAACAACCGACCTCGACGCAGCTGCAAGGAAAAATCGCAGCCCTACGAAAAAAACAATTAAAACGCATAACGCCAACGCAATGCATTGTCGTGCAATCCCGAATGCACTGACCGGTCACAAAAGGTCCCTGAATACGAACAAAATCATCGCGAATAAAACCAAAGCGCACACAATTGAGAAAAGGCCTTAAATAAACATCAAATTTCACGCGCACAAAGAATAAAAGGATCAGGAACGATACAAGAAACTTATGATGAAAAAACGTGCAAGAAACAAATGCAGGCTATGCCGCAATGGGTTGCGGTAGGATAGCCAAACGTGCCAATACAAATCTCGCGACCCCCGCAGTAAGACAAAACGCGCGATCTAATTAAAACCCAATTATCATTAGAATAAATCATAAATTACATAATCGGCAGGTAATAGTGATTTCGCAATAGCACATGGACGAGAACATTCCCTTGCCGCGAGGGGCCACGAAATAAACAGTATATAAAGCAGAGCGTTCAAACACAAGCGTCCTTCTTCCCAATCTCACAAACGGTAAGCACTCCTAGCACTTTAAGTAGCGCTCTGGATCTTTCCGCATTTCCTACATAAAATCCAGCCCCGATCGTACGCCACCCACGGCGTCTGACGGGCTATTTCCACTCTCAGTTTCGACATCATACGAAACATTTTTCTCTATCCCTACTAGTTTTCGAGATATTTGACTGGATCACTTCAGATGGTCCACCCTGTATATGTTTCTTCTGCACGTAGACGCAGCAGAAGAAACGTCCGCGTTGTAAACCACGCGCCGTGTAATATTAACATCAAAATAATCAGATCATAATTATCAATCTTTACTTCACTTCCTTGCCCTTAAGGCCTTTTCTCTACTCTTCCCTGTTCCCGTTTCGCACAGACACCAGAGAGCGTAGATAGAGCGAAGCGAGTGATGAAACGTCACAGCTGCTCCAAGGAAAGAGATCTAAATATCTTCATAAATTCCTTTTATACCTTAGCGTGTCACGAGCGCTCTATATGACAATTCCTCTGAACTCTCTGGTTCATTTTTTCCTGTGCTAACGAAGGAATACGGAAGTTCGAAATCCCGTTAAAAATAATAAAAGATAGTTCTCAAAAGTACGATAACAATTCAATTCATGCCGTATAAAGGCACTGGCGACAGCAGCCTGCCCCCATGCGTAAACACGCGCCGAAAGCAAATCTTTCCGGAAGCTAAGGCTTCGCCCCGCGCGCCCCCGCTCTGCCCCCCGCGTCCCACGAAACCTCTGCAGCGTCTCGAATCACAACAATCGCAACGAACACGCGACTTCGGACGTAACAGTATGTAATGGGATATCGGGTTTAAGAATGGAGTGCAAATAACCTTCTTGTTTATCATCTTTACACTTGGTTAATATGCACGGTACGCAGCTAGTAATATATTTAATCAACTAATTGTAGAATTTTGTTAGAACATCAAGAAATTCTGTTCAATCGGCCATCCAACCTTTTGTCAAGCAATTTCGATACATTTGGTTTATGTTCATTCGTTGACGTGATTTACTATCGAATTTTTTTCAGCGTTTTCGAAGTAATGTAAAAATTTTATATTTATCATATATCTGAAGAGGGTCTAATACAAAGACCGAAACATGTTATATTTTGCTATGGAATTTATGTAATAGAATGATTTAATATAATAGAATTTTGATTATTTTTTAATATTGTTTTAGTATTGACTCTTACATGGCTTGTTTTATATTTGATTTTTATTATTATTAAGAGTCCTTTACGAATATTATTTATTTAGTAATATATCGTTCGACTTTGTTTTTTAGATCACCCAAAAAATATTCTTTACAGATAGTCTCTTCAGTTCGTTTTGCCGACATATGCCCTTTCATGAATAGTTCATATGACATCTGTTTCTAACGCTTGTATGACAAGTAAGTCCCGTCCATCTTGAAATTTATATAATAACCCGTTACTAATATGAAAATTGTCGTTTGGCTTATCTTTAAGAATCTCTGTTATGGCTCTTATTTCATAATTTTCTTATTGACTTTTGATTCGTGGTAGGACTAAATTTGTGGATATTGTCATGCCGGGGTGTCTACTCAAGGCGTCGACATGTTTTATAAGTGTTCCTGTCCTATGTTCCATAATATAATCATAATCTTCCAGTACTAGGGTCTATCCAGCAATGCGAGAGATTAAATCTTTTTTGCTCTTTGTACGCTGAAATGTCGCACAGTCGGTGATTATTTTGAATCGTATTCCTAACAAGTAAATTCGAAATTTATTAAGGGCTTCTACTATGGCTAATGTTCCTGACTCGTAACTAGAATAGTTTATTTCCTCTTTTTTAGTTTTCCTACTCATAAAGTACACAGAGTGCCATAAACTATTATCAGGTGAACGTTGCATTAATACAGCCTCGTAGCTATTTATACTAGCATCTGTATGTACTTCCGTCTCGTATATATTGTGGATGATACATTTTTAACACTGGATTCTGAGTTAAAACTGCTTTCAATTGTAAAAACGTGCTCCTTATTTTATCATCAATAACATATG